CATTTCTAGACTGTTTCCCATTTCATTTCTAGACTGGTTCACAGAAAACTCTTTTCTATAAACTTTTAGTCAGTGATACAAAATTCGACCTGATTATCGTTCCGGTCGCCAAATAACCTCAGTCGTATTTTTAAGACTAAGTATCAATTTGATATATATTTGGCTATTTACCTTTGTAAGAGGGCTCTCTACGATTTTAATTACTTTTGAGAAAGTGACGGGTGTGAAGTGAAGTTGTTTATGATTTCAACACGCACAATTCGAGACAATGTGTTCGTACCTCTATTCTACATTATTTATTGTGGTTAAATGTTCTTTACATATTGATCTTATGTAAACATCAAATTAAACTCCAAGCACACAACTCGAACTATCGGCTTGAATGGGTGTTTGTTTATATGGTTTGGAACTTTAATGTAGTTTTAACAGTGTTTTAGACATATCGTTGCGATGTTCACAGTGTGGCAGTTTGAAGTGATGTCTAGCACTGTAGCATGATGCTGCAGACACAGCATTATCTCCCATTAGTCATATTATGGACACATTACTAATTATATTTGAAAATTGGGAAACAGTCTGGAAATGGGTGAACAGTAAATACAGTCTATACGGGTTTAGCTGGTCAGATTGGTTAATAGGGTAAGATATGTTTTAGGAAAAATAATCTGTTGAGACCTTATCGTAGTTGATAGTGAATAAAAATAGAGACATTGTTTTATTGATATAATTTCAGTCCTTTAATAGTCTTGAGTTTAGAACGCTCATTACTAAAATTAGCACCGGACACATTGGTGCGGAATTGAAAGGATATGTTTCAGACATATGCAGTTCCAAAAATATCCTTTCCTTAACTCAAAAGCTAATATCCAGGTTTCTTCTATACTGATAAATATAAGTTTGGTCATGAGCACTCAAAAAGTTTAAATTATTGTATTTTTAATATTATGGTGCTTGCATAGGTTTACTATGGGAACTGAATTAGTACCGTGATTCCTTATCCTGACACTTGGCCGAACAGTCATAACACGAACGTCCGCATCTGAGGCTGACGTTCTAACTATTTATACTACCTGAGTGGTCCTTGAACTACATTTAGTAGTTAATAAAATAGGGAAATATCATTTTGCCAGAGTAGGCTATACCAGCTTCTGAAATTAATATATATATATATATATATATATATATATATATATATATATATATATATATATATATATATATATATATATATATATATATATATATATACCAAATTACACACATCAGTCATACACCTAAAAAAAGGGAATTCTTTTAACATTAGTAATATACAAAGGTTCTCCTTTTTCAATGCCAGGATAACCAGTGTGGACAACCAGTGAGGACAAACTAGGAAACCCTTATTTATAAGACAAATAACCCTGTGTAAAATACGTCTCTGTAGATCGCCACCTAGACTAAAGTAGTTTAGAGTATAGTTATCAATCGCAACGAATTAGACCTGGGATGTCTTTCTTGACTTGATGGAAAAGGACGATGATATAAAGACTGGCAATAAATAAAAAGCTTGTACATGACCGCAGTACATTATTTCTCATTCGGACCTGTGTTATATTTATGCCAAAGAAATTGTCACAGAATAAAACAAGATATAACTTGGTTTCGCCTTATAATAATTTGATCATTCTCGTCTTACATGCTTTCAACGTTACCTTGGGAGGATAATTTATTTTAGTTAAGAGAGTGATCTAACATGTATCCTGTCGTAGATAACTCGCGGCGAGAGACATTAAAAGTTTGGTATGCACGGGTATTGTACTCTTACGAATATTTATTCCCCATGAAGACTTAAGACAAGGTTATTATCTGAAACATTGGTCTTTTGTCAATGAGTATATGTTTTCCATTGATGTACAGTAGAATAGGGCAGTGTATAAACCCTAAATCAAAATTCATAAAATAAAATTTGATTAAATTTAACACAAACAATATATATATATATATATATATATATATATATATATATATATATATATATATATATATATATATATAAACACTTCATTTCATAAACTAAGATCTTTATTTACATTGTGTGGTGTTGTTATTTAATCTAGTCATCCATATTCAGGTCAAATCCTGTTGCACAAAAGTATGCCTCGGATATATGGCAGCATGTTAATTTTAAGGGAAGTAAATTTAGTTCGCCGAAATTTCTCGGCAAACAAAAGAAACCCATCCTATTTTGGACTACCTTAGAACGATTGGATTGACCGTCGGATTGACCGAGCTGTTAAGAATGGATAAAATATTTTTCGAACATTAGTCGTTCGTTACCTCTCGGTCAATCCTTGTTTCGTGAATAGGCAATCTTTACCGAATGGCAGCTATCGACATACAGTCGGGGTTGGATCCGTTGGATTGACCTTGAATTTGGGAATGCATTGTTACTGTTACGACTTTTTTTTATAAAATACCTATCGGCATTACGTTGCATGGCCATTATGCCTGGCAGTACGGAATATACTGAACTGACACAAAAAACCCACCACCACGGTGATGCCTATTACACAACCATTTTGTTCACATGCACGTTCAAGTTGTTAGTGCCTTACCAGGCAACCTCATAACACACCTATTTAATTTGACTGATTCTTCCTGATCTTAAACTGCTGAGTACTTTTTAAAATCTATATAATTTCACGTGAACAACTCCCGACGTTCAAATTCAAATCTCAATTTCCATATATCAACTTCAAGACATAATGTCTTCATTATTATAATATATATTGTATCTTTTAAAAATGCCGAAGATTTTACAAATGTCACAAGGCATTTAAAATAGTAAATGGTTATTTTTATATTATAACTGCAAATTTTTGATATAGTTTAGCGCAAGAGATGTATAATAACAACGTGGACGGAATACGAGTTGATTCAGTGGTTAGCGTACCAGACACTCGACCAAAAGGATGTAAATTCGAATCTTATAACTGCTTCAGCCCAGGTCAGTTTCTGGGCCGTGTACATGGGCAAGGCGGTTTATTCAATTGCTTCGATACTTAATAATCCTTGTTTCTGTGATAAAAAAAACATTAAACCAACATGAAGTCATAAATCTCTCTCGTTTGACTTTGGTGTTACACGTTTCAATTAAATTAATAGTACTTGTGACTTTGGCATCTCACGTGTCACTTTATTGTGCTTCTACTGGCTTCCATATCCATATTAATAGAATTTAAAATGACGTACTTTTGTACTTTCGTTTTATTTGATGAGTTCAGTAGTACGACAATATAAGTTTGAGTTTTGTTGCCGCTTTAAGTCAAAACATTTTACCCCATGGCTTTGTCCTCACGTCACATACGCTCACCCACACATGCAAGTTACCAAGAGCATAGTCATGTGGGGCTGAAGACGTTACCCTAATTCAGATATCACCAAAACCGCTATTGTAATAGTACTCACGTCTATGGGAGTTTATGTCGACGTTATACGTACAAATTAAAGTACAAGTGCAAGTACAAGTACAGCGCGGCTACTGTGCGACTGCAAGGCAGATACAACGCGAATGCATTCAATCATGATTGTTCTGATTTGCATTAATGCAACGATCAATGATATTAGAATTGTATTACATACATAGCCTTTACACACGAGTGTTGTCCCAAATGCAAATAGAGACAGATACATGTCTTTAAGCGAAGACAGGAGAATACATACACGAATACAAATATTTGCATCAAATCTCTGGTAATAAACAAAACGGCTACTATTGGAAAGTTGTACATATATAAATTTCATACATGAGTGTAACATTCAATTATCAGTTCAGCCGCTGCTAGGCACTGTTTAATTGCTGATCGATTCATATTTGTATACAAGCAAAAATGGCCTTTCTGTTATTTATTCTTTGATGTGGAGAATTTTGAAGACGTATTTAAACACAAGATTAAATAAATTGTGATTTTAAGCTAACATACTCAAGCCAGAAAGGTCTTCAGAAAGTTCACTGATTATCTCTTATTTCATATCCGGAACATAAAGTGGTCTACGTTTAAGCTTCAGTAAAAGTGGAAAAACCCAGACTTACAGGAACAAGGAATTCAAAAGAATTATTGCAGTGAATTTGGACTGAACCAGAATCATCAGGTTAAAAACCTGTGAAAAGCAATAATTTCGATCTTTAGCTTGATTTGACGAGGAATGAATTATATGGCCTAACAGAATATTCATTTTTATATACATATTTGTGTTTGAAATTCGTTGAAAAATTTACTTCAAGAAAAGAAAAGCATCTCTCAAATGTAATGCACTATCACAATTGTTTATAAATTTTTTCGTTATGAACTTTTATTTAATTTTTTGATATATACACGAACGATGGGCTAGAGTCATTCTGTTCTATACATCTGCTAAGATCTGTACCTATTCCAGTTACAAGTTTCACACTTTATATTGATATTTACTCGCACCTGGCAACTTACACCATCAGCGATCACCTCTAGCTGACGATAACCAAAATTATAGAACTCAATCCAATAAAGCTGGAAGGAGGTTTGAATATATATATATATATATATATATATATATATATATATATATATATATATATATATATATATATATATATATATATATATATATATATATATATATATATATATTCGACAAGGAATTTTCTACCCTTCGTTTTCTTTTGCAGAAAAATAGCGTCGACTGATTACAATTTTGCGATAAGCACATTTAATTCGTGCGTTTTCATGGGTAATCACGTCCTATATATTCATAGTAACCAATCAGAATTAAATATATTCCACGCCTGGACTAGACTCAAAGCAATGCAATTCGTCTGACAACCTCACATTACCCAATGCAGATTCCTGATAACTTTCAGAAATGACAGTTCATCATAAAGATCACTATCCTTCTGAGTTAAATAAACGAAGGTTTAATCAAGAAATCATGCTTCCATAACAGTGACATTAGCCAATTAGTACCTTTTTTATAAGTGATTGGTATGATTGAGCCGGGAACCGAACTCGTAACCTCTCGCAACCAAGGCGGACGCTTTAACCACTAGGCCACCTGAGCTGTCAATGATACCATGAGTTTTCCCTTGATACTAATAATACTGAGTATCCGTGGTTTCCACAGTAACTTAGGGGTAGCGAGTTTAATTCAGGATTTCAGCACGTGCATAATTAGTTTCGTATAATATCCTCAGAATTTATAAAAGTATTGTAAAATTGACATAGGATCAAAATTATAAAAAAAACTTGTCAATGAAGTATACTTTGAACTGAGATCATTTGATTCCAAATGTTGTATGCCAACAGGACGTGATGTTTTTCAAAAGTCTTCTACTTAATAGTGCTGCAGATGTGGTAACCTGATGCCGCCACAACATCGGCTGACTCTACTACTATCATTGACACCGGTTATGCTATTTGTCTTTCTCAGCTCAGGTTATGGGGCAATAGGACCATTAAAATTCGGATATCCTTGTTCTTTACTGAAAGCTGAGAAGACAATATGAAATTCTCCAAGAACCTATCAAAATGTGAAAGATAAACATTGCAAAATCTGGCTTGTTCATACTAGTTTTACGCATGCCCTTTAAGTTCACATGCAAAATTCCATGTGCACAAGAACAAATAATTTTGTTGCACCAAAATTAATTTGTGCTGAAAATTTGGGCATACTGGTGTACTTAATCAAAAATATATTAAAACAGGAGATTTTCTGCCTTCTAATCTGTGAATTAATTGCTAAATATTATATTATTGAATTATGAATTGTGAGAAAAAAATCTAGTAAAACTAAAGCCTTCAACCAGCAGAACAGCAAATTGCTCTACAGTTGTTGTTTCACTGATATACAAATATCACTGCCACAGATTTTGATGACAATTAATGTATTTTAAATACCTTCAACAGATTTTTGTACTTTGCTTTTATTTCGGATTATTTGGTGCAGACAGATTCCGTTTCCTTCACATAAAAGAACAACGCATGCTACAAGACTTTCTTTTAAAATCATTTGTAAGTATTTCATTATTCAATTGTTTTTCTATACTGACAGATGAATCATTGTCATTTTATATTTGCTCAGTGAAAGATGAGTATATTGACGTTGTTTGATTTCGGCTGCTGGATGTTGACATCGTTCTGTAAATTTGGTCCGCATCTTAAAGTTAATTGGCATCGATTAGTTTGCAGCCCCTGACAAAATGTGTGCTCGTAATTTGGCATGGACACGTTGGAGCTAGGAAAGCCTTTATTCGTGGTATATATATATATATATATATATATATATATATATATATATATATATATATATATATATATATATATATATATATATATATATATATATATATATATATATATATATACACACACCAGACAGAACAGACTGTGCTATCTCTGGATTCTGTAGTATAATCTTGATAATACTGGGAACAAATAATAGTTTAATACAAACAATACTATCATACAGGTTGGATAAATCAAATTCGTACTCTACGGAGTTTCGAACTTAGGTCCGCGAGCAAATGGCACCCATCGCCATTTATATATATATATATATATATATATATATATATATATATATATATATATATATATATGCTTTATTTTAACTTGACAACAACCTCATGACACATTTTATATTAATCTGACTAAAACCCAATGATGACATGCTTTATTTTAACTTAACAACAACCTCGTGATACACTTTATATTAATCTGACTAAAACTTCATGATCACATGCTTTATTTTAACTTAACAACAACCTCATGACACACTTTATGTTAATCTGACTAAAACCTCATGATGACATGCTTTTGTTAACTTAACGACAACCTCATGACACATTTTATATTAATCTGACTACAACCCCATGATGACATGCTTTATTTTAATTTAACAACAACCTCATGACACACTTTATATATTATGACTAAAACCTCATGATGACATGCTTTATTTTAAATTAACAACAACCTCATGACTCACTTTTAATTAATCTGACTAAAACCTCATGATGACATGCTTTATTTAACTTAACAACAACCTCATGACACACATTATATTAATCTGACTGAAACCTCATGATGGCATAGTTTTTTTAACTTAACAACAACCTCATGACACATTTTATATTATTCTGACTAAAATCCCATAATGACGTGCTTTATTTTAACTTAACAAAAACCTCATGACACACTTTGTATTAATCTGACTAAAACCTCATGATGACATGCTTTATTTTAACTTAACAACATCCTCATGACACACATAACACTTTTTTTTAACAGCAGAATATAATCTTAGTGGTAGAGGCTTGTACTAATCTATCTATATTGACTCCCTATATAATAAAATTCCGAAATTCGTGTAACTTAAAATCTGGAGCAGTCCTAAATTTGTATAATTAAAAATCTGGGCAAATCCGAATTTTGGAAATTAATCTGACTAAAACCTCATGATGACATGTTTTATTTTAACTTAACAACAACTTCATGACACACTTTATATTAATCTGACTGAAACCTCATGATGACATAATTCCTTTTAACTTAACAACAACCTCATGACACACTTTATATTAATCTGACTGAAACCTCATAATGACATGATTTATTTTAACTCAATAACAACCTCATGAAACACTTTATATTAATCTGACTGAAACCTCATGATGACATGCTTCATTTTAACTTAACAACAACCTCATGACACACTTTATATTAATCCGAATGAAACCGCATGACGATATGCTTTATTTTAACGTAACAACAACCTCATGACACACTTTATATTAATCTGACTGAAACCTCATGATGACATGCTTTATTTTAACTTAACAACAACCTCATGACACACTTTATATTAATCGGACTGAAACTTCATGATGACATGCTTTATTTTAACTTAACAACAACCTCATGACACACTTTATGTTAATCTGACTAAAACCTCATGATGACATGCTTTTGTTAACTTAACGACAACCTCATGACACATTTTATATTAATCTGACTACAATCCCATGATGACATGCTTTATTTTAATTTAACAACAACCTCATGACACACTTTATATATTATGACTAAAACCTCATGATGACATGCTTTATTTTAAATTAACAACAACCTCATGACTCACTTTTAATTAATCTGACTAAAACCTCATGATGACATGCTTTATTTAACTTAACAACAACCTCATGACACACATTATATTAATCTGACTGAAACCTCATGATGGCATAGTTTTTTAACTTAACAACAACCTCATGACACATTTTATATTATTCTGACTAAAATCCCATAATGACGTGCTTTATTTTAACTTAACAAAAACCTCATGACACACTTTGTATTAATCTGACTAAAACCTCATGATGACATGCTTTATTTTAACTTAACAACATCCTCATGACACACATAACACTTTTTTTTAACAGCAGAATATAATCTTAGTGGTAGAGGCTTGTACTAATCTATCTATATTGACTCCCTATATAATAAAATTCCGAAATTCGTGTAACTTAAAATCTGGAGCAGTCCTAAATTTGTATAATTAAAAATCTGGGCAAATCCGAATTTTGGAAATTAATCTGACTAAAACCTCATGATAACATGTTTTATTTTAACTTAACAACAACTTCATGACACACTTTATATTAATCTGACTGAAACCTCATGATGACATAATTCCTTTTAACTTAACAACAACCTCATGACACACTTTATATTAATCTGACTGAAACCTCATAATGACATGATTTATTTTAACTCAATAACAACCTCATGAAACACTTTATATTAATCTGACTGAAACCTCATGATGACATGCTTCATTTTAACTTAACAACAACCTCATGACACACTTTATATTAATCCGAATGAAACCGCATGACGATATGCTTTATTTTAACGTAACAACAACCTCATGACACACTTTATATTAATCTGACTGAAACCTCATGATGACATGCTTTATTTTAACTTAACAACAACCTCATGACACACTTTATATTAATCTGACTGAAACTTCATGATGACATGCTTTATTTTAACTTAACAACAACCTCATGACACACTTTATATTAATCTGACTAAAACCTCATGATGACATGCTTTATTTTAACTTAACAACAACCTCATGACACACTTTATATTAATCTGACTGAAGCCTCATGATGACATGCTTCATTTTAACGTAACAACAACCTCATGACACACTTTATATTAATCTGACTGAAACCTCATGATGACATGCTTTATTTTAACTTAACAACAACCTCATGACACACTTTATATTAATCTGACTGAAACCTCATGATGACATGCTTTATTTTAACTTAACAACAACCGCATGGCACACTTTATATTAATCTGACTGAAACCTCATAATGACATGATTTATTTTAGCTCAATAACAACCTCATGAGACACTTTATATTAATCTGACTACAACCTCATGATGACATGCTTCATATTGTTAAGATCCTGTGTACGACTCAGTGAAGAGTTCTTTCAGTCATAATATTTTCCGGGTTCGCCTGATAATGGCTTGAGGTAAAATGAATGTAGATTTTTAATTGTGGTGTTGGTATTGATTATTTCTCTATAATAAAAGAATTGAATGACAGAGATGAATAGGAGAAGAATGAAGAAATGGGTGTTATCTTTGATGTAAATAAATACATAATAAATTATGTTTTACTTTTAATTGTGTATCTTATTTTCTTTTTCTAATATTCATAGATTAGAATTATATTTACATACATACTAACAATTTCACTTCATGTCCGTACATTTACTATACAACATAAGGAAATAAGATTGTTTGCTTATTACACAACTGTTGTTGTATACTTCAGGAAACAATTTTATCATAAAGGTATTATACAGTGATTTTAATAAAATTGAGATTATTATTATTTTTTTAAACAGCAGAATGTATATTAACTCCCTATAAAATAAAATTCCGAAATTCGTGTAACTTAAAATCTGAAGCAGTCCTAAATTTGTATAATTAAAAATCTGGGCAAATCCGAATTTTGGATAAGTCCGAAATTC